TTTATTTCATTTTATTTTTATTTCATTTTATTAAATATGATTTTTATTTTATTACATTTAATTTTGTATTTTATTTTATTTTGTATTTTATTTTATTTGTTTATTAAATGAGATTTTAATTAAATTGTATTTTCATTTATTTAATAAGTTTGATTTTTATTTTATTTCATTTTTTTATTTTTGTATATATTCATTAATTAATTAATTTATTTTAATTTATTTTAATATTTAGCTTTTTTTTTTTTTTTTACTTTTTTTTACCTTTTTTGAGGTTCAAAATATTTTGGACCTGTATGGTATGTAGGGAGCAATTTTACTTGTCAAAAATAATTCTCTAAAATGACCAATGAAATAATAATGTTATTGTCAAAAAATAAAAATAGCAAACTCACTTCTCATAATTCCTATATCTCACACATTTTTTGTTTAATTTTCCTCCTAAACATATATATGTTATTGTGTGTGTGTGTATGTGCGTGCGTGCGTGCGTGTGTGTGTCTGCAGGGATTTATAAAAAAAAAAAAGCTGTTCATCTGTTATGCTTAAGCAGAAAATTATGTGATTTCAGAAAAAGAAGTGATAATTGATGAATCAATCCAGACGGATAATGATGTTGTTTTGTGTGTTTTTGCAGTTAAACGTGGAGGCCAGTGACTTCATGAAGGATCTGCAGGTCAAGCTGAACAATGTGATGGATGATCTCAGCAGGGTCTTTGCCGTCAGGTCAGCCGGGATTATTATGGGGTGGACATTTTTGGAAAATAAAATGCACGTTTGTTTTTTTAAGAGAGATTTTTTATTTAGTGTCCATATGTTCAGGCCCACGTCAGAGATCTGCCGATTTACACAGATTTTTATAGCCCATAATTAATTCTACAGTTGATGTCAGAATTATTTGCCCCCTTTGATTTCTTTTTCTTTTTTAAATATTTCCCAAATGATGTTTAACAGAGCAAGGACATTTTTACAGTATGTCTGATAATATTTTTTCTTCTGGAAAAAGTCTTATTTGTTTTATTTCGATTAGAATAAAAGCAGTTTTTAATTTTTTAAACATCATTTCAAGGTCAATATTATTAGCCCCTTTAAGCAAATTTTATTTTCGATAGTCTACAGAACAAACCATCATTACACAATAACTTGCCTAATTATCCTAACCTGTCTAGTTAACTTAATTAACCTAGTGAAGCCTTTAAATGTCACTTTAAGCTGTATAGAAGTGTCTTGAAGAATATCTAGTCTAATATTATTTACTGTCATCATGGCAAAGATAAAATAAATCAGTTATTAGAGATGAGTTATTAAAACTATTATGATTAGAAATGAGCTGAAAATATCTTCTCTCTGTTAAACAGAAATTGTGAAAAATAAAGAGGGGGGCTAATAATTCAGGGGGGTTAATAATTCTGATTTCAACTGTATTTTACCATATTTCCATATGCCAGATAAGGGGAAAACTGCAAAAAAAAATAAAAAATTATTTAAATATTGTCTTGTTATTAGTCAAAATCATAAGTACAAATTAAGTAGGTTTTTCCTGAAAATAAGCAAAATAATTTTATTTCAAGCAAAAACAGGATTCTTTTCCTTCTTGATTTAAGAATTTTGAGGTATTTGGACTAGAAACGAGACAAAAATTCTTATTTTCTTTTCTATTTATTTACTCATGTAAATGTGTAATATTTAGTTTTTATATTCAGTTCCGTTCATCTTTATTTCTCTAACGCTTTTACAATGTAGAGTGTGTCAAAGCAGCTTAACACAGAGGATTTTAGTAAATTGATTCTGTGTCAGTCCAGTTTTCAGAGTTTCAGTTTTCATTCATTCATTCATTCATTTTCTTGTCGGCTTAGTCTCTTTATTAATCCGGGGTCGCCACAGCGGAATGAACCGCCAACTTATCCAGCAAGGTTTTACGCAGCGGATGCCGCAACCCATCTCTGGGAAACATCCACACACACACACACACACACACACTCATACACTACGGACAATTTAGTCTACCCAATTCACCTGTATAGCATGTCTTTGGACTGTGGGGGAAACCGGAGCACCCGGAGGAAACCCATGCGAAGGCAGGGAGAACATGCAAACTCCACACAGAAACGCCAACTGAGCCGAGGTTTGACCCAGCGACCTTCCTGCTGTGAGGCGACAGCACTACCTACTGCACTACTGCCTCGCCAGTTTCAGTTCAGTGTGGTTTAATATTCACTGCTGAAACTCCAAACACTGAAGAGTAATCCATCCATGCGCAGCTCCACAAGTCCCAAACCAAGCAAGCCAGTGGCGAACTGTGGCCAGTGATATTAGTTTCAGTAAAATTATTTGAATAATATGCCAACATTTATATGATTTATTCACAGTACAGTTCGTAAAGTAACATTTTCTGTCTTTTAGTAGGTGTGTTATATATGAGAGACCTTGTTTACCAACAAAGCGGTTCCAATTGTATTTGCAGTAGACCTTAAGTTAAAAAGTTATAATCAGATATTCTGCTTTGAAAATGTGCGTTATGTTTTGGAACGGCTGTCTTTGTTTTGGTCATTTAACCCGCCCACTGCCAGTTTAGCCAATTATATTTCAGCACCCGGGTTACCTTGCTGGAAAACAGAATATTTCATTCATTCAGTCAGGAAGTCCCAAAGCATGCGCTCATGAGCGAAATACGACCTCCGGTGGACAGTAGCAGACTCTGAAATGAGATGCAGATTCAGAGTTCCACTTGAGGTGGTTATTAATTAGCAAATAATAGCGTAAACATTAGGCGAGCAGGTTACATTGTAACAGAAATGTAAATGCAGACATTCAGAAGCACAGAATACTGCACTCACTGCACTCCAGCCAAATGGTGAGGTTTATAATCTAACTAATACATATTAACCCTCTTTAACATGATTAAATGTAGATGCTGAATCACTGATATGTGTTGGTTTGCGCTGAGTCACAGTTCTACAGTTTCAGACAGTTTATTTTATTTTCAGGATCTGAGGTGAACTATCTGCTGCTGCCTTAAGGCTGATTTATACTTCTGCGTCAAGCGCACGCATATGCTACAGTGCGGCCTACGCGTGGACGCGCACCTCTCAAAAATTTTAACCACACGTCGCAACGACGCGTAGCGCAAGCTCTGTAATTGGTCTGCTTGGTAGCGCTGACGAGTTGGGCGAGTTTTGTGCATGTGGGCGATTTGTTTACAAGTCTCGTGAAGGAGATCCGAATGGAAATTTTTGATTTGCGTTTTCCTCATAATTGCACGTCCTCCGCTTTTTCTGCCTTAAAATAAGCTACTTTGATCCACTTGTGCATTAAGGAAGCGTTCAGAAAAAACAAAACACCAGTGAAGAAACTCGACACAGAGGAACACTAACGCCTCACTGCCAACTAGTGTTTCGGAAGTGTTATTGCAGAGCAACAGAAGCCGCGAGCAGAAGTATAAATGCACAGCTACGCGTGGTGCATGCACCGTGGGTCACGCCGATCACTTGACGCAGAAGTATTGACCTTATTCTAAAATGCGGAAGTGCACCTGTTTTCGCGATTATTTTAGAACAGGGGTCTCAAACTCGCGGCCCGCGGGCCATTTGCGGCCCTCAGTGCAATATTTTGTGGCCCGCGCCGACCGCTGTACACTGACAGAATCAGCGGAGCGGGGAGAGAGAGCGCTCCCCGCTCCGCTGATCCTATCCGTACACAGCGGTCACTAGCATTCCCCGCCCGCCGTGTAAACAAAGGGGCGGGGATGCCAGTGACATCACCACGCACCCCGCCCCTTTGTTAGACGCTGTGACGGGCGGGAAGTGTTAGGAGGTAACTCGCGCTGGCCAGAACCAAGGTAAGCTGTTCCCGCCCCTGCCTGCCACTTAGCTACCTATCTGCAGCCTGCCACCTACCTAGCTACAGCCTGCATCTTATATATATTATAGGTAGATACAGACTGGTACAGACTGATGTGACTGGAGTGGGGTGGGGGTGTTTTATTTATACATATATACGCCTTTTTTTAGGTGAGGGCAGGCACGTGCACACATAGGGCTCAACCTGTGCAGAGCACATGCCCTTTTTAGTCTTGGATACAAAGTGCCCTTCCAAAATGATCAAAAGTGCCCCCGTGACGCGACACACCCTCGGTCCCGCCCTTCAGTAGGCGCGCGACAACACCGCTCTTGAGTACGCGCGCGATAACACCGCTCTTCAGTACGCGCGCATCCACTCTGCAGATCTGCACCAATCTCCCCCGCCCCCCGCTCTTCCAAAAATTTATCCTGCACATGCCCTTTGGACGGTCTCTGCACGGGCCTGGGTGAGGGAATGGAAGTTTTGAGTGAGTTCCCCCAAGCCATACTGAGGGTCTCAACTGCTTCCGCTCTAAAGCCAAATGTGGTTCAGATTTGTGAGAAGAAGCGCTGTCAAGTCTCTGGCAGCAAGAACTGTTCATAATCTTCACTCAATGTTCTATTAATGTTCAGGACACTTCATGTTCAGAAGAAATAATTAAAACTGTTAATAATGACATTTGAGGACTTTTTTTTTGTGAAATCCCTTATGCGGCCCAGCCTCACCCAGACTTTGCCTCCTGCGGCCCCCAGGTAAATTGAGTTTGAGACCCCTGTGTTAGAACATCCGATTCAGTCGCCTATGGGAGAAATGACTAGGAATAATAAACAGCAGAAAACGGTCAAACTACTTGCTCTACAAACAAATGTTTGTATTACTATACCAGGGGTCGGCAACCCAAAATGTTGAAAGAGCCATATTGGACCAAAAAAAACAAAAAACAAATATGTCTGGAGCCGCAAAAAAATGTAAAGCCTTATATAAGCTTTATAATGTAGGAAACACATGCTGTATGTATCTATAGTAGCTATATTAGCCCACTATAAAAACGACTAAGTTGGCTACAAATACATAATGAGCCTTCATGATTAAATAGCCACTGAAATCAGGTGGTTGGTGTTTATTTCGTTGTCATTTAAACACTTCAGCACAGCCTCTGGTCTTTCAGTGTATTAATTTGATCATTTCTTCTTGCGGCTCATCAGAGTTCACATACCTGCATAAAAGCGCATTGAATATCGATCACATCACAGGCAATTGAGTATGCTGGCACTGAATTAATGTCCTTGGTTTGCTGATCGGTGATGTTACCTGCCATTTTAATAGCCCTTTCCTTCACTGTCTTAGCGGAGAGAGGTACAGTATATCTTTAATTTTTTGTATTATCTTGGTTTTGAAGTCTGCAAATAGGTGTTCTAGTATGTTGATGAATGACTCCTTCATGTAGTCACCATCTGTGAACGGTTTTCCGTGCTTTATTATCTCCCGGTTTGTTTACAACCGCCACCTGCCTGGCATCCTGCCCTGCTGATAGAAACCTGTGTCGCAGGCTATGACGCAAATCTTCGTTGACAGAAATGTTGAAATTAAATATTAATTCTACACACTTTTACAGCGTTTGAAAACGTTAAAAATGTTTGTCCTCCAATAGAAATCATATTAAAACATATAATATAAAAAAATTATATTAACCTTCCCCATCTTTTTGAACATTTTTGAAGAAGCTCCAGGGAGCCACAAGGGCAGCACTAAAGAGCCGCATGCGGCTCTAGAGCCGCGGGTTGCTGACCCCTGTACTATACTGACCAAGTAGAATAATATAATAAGAACATATCAACTTGCAACATCAAGAAACGTAAGAGCAGTTTCAACGTCTAAAAATGAATGGAAGTGAATGAGACCGGAAGTCTCGAACCAAAAAGATTCAAATGGCTGCGTCCGCTCGTCTGCGGAGAATAAGGTGAATAAACCAGGCTTTAGTAGTATGGCAGTAAATGTCATTCAAACTCACATTATTAGCATGTAACACTGAATAAAGCACATGAGCTGTACCTGAGCTGATCATTGTCAGTTTTCTGTTCAGCTGCGAGTAATAGAAGCTGTTTATAATATATTAATTTCAGGTGTTGGTTAGGACAGAAACTCCTTTTAATATGGAGAATATTCCTTCTATCATGTGCCGATGCGTTTATATAGAACACGGTTTAAATCAGCTTTCAGACTCACTCCTGTTGGTCCTCAATCTGGCAACCTGCGCTTGCATTTGTTTTGATCCATGAATGCAATACCTAGTTCAACCACTGGGTGTCAAATTAACATGCACCTTTAAGCTTTCTATGGAAGGTGGTAGTATCAACACTGATCTCAGATGTGAGATGATTTCAAGAGAATTACAGTGGTGTGAAGAACAGTTTGGCTCCTTACTAATTTCTTATTGTTTTGCATGTTTGTCACACTTTATTGTTTGGGGGTAAAAATCCTGCATGTTTACATTTTTTAATGATTATAAATTAAGCAAGTGTTTTCCTCCTCAGTTTCCAGCCGCACATCGAGGAGAACGTCCGGCAGATGGGAGATATTCTGAGTCAGGTTAAAGGAGCAAACGTTCCTGCTAATGGAAACGGCAGCTTGGCTCAGGATGCAGACAACGTTTTACAGCCCATCATGGACTTCCTGGACAGCAAGTGAGCATGAAACCTCAAGACTAGACCCACACGGAATCTGCACATGCAGAAATTTCTGCAGTCTATTAATTTACTTGCATTACTTGCAAATGTGTGGACATTTATCTTTATTCAGATTTTAAATTAATTTCAGTAATATTATTGACTAATAGAAAATGCTCAAATGATTTATTTACAGGACAGTTGTCGTCAAATGTTCTGTTTTCTAGTAGATCTATTATATGAGAGACTTGCTTTGTTTACCAAATAAGTGGATATAATTGGATTTGCATCGCAAACATTAAATAAAAATTATTTAGATATTGGTAGAATTTTTTTTCTTTACTCAAAAATGATTTTAGTGTATTTTAAATGTGGGTCAAGACTGGCCAAACTCACATGGCCCACTTATCAAATTTTTAAATCTGGGCCAAATACTACATTTTTCATCTGGCCAAATCTTGTGTGCCGCCTTAAAAACGGTGCCACCTCTGCCAAACCCGGGCCATGTTTGGCCCACATGCTGTATGCCAGTGCCGGATGAATGCCTGCTGTGCCAGCTTTTTGCCAAATCTGGGCCAGAATTCTTTGCTACTAGGGAAGCTAACAGCTGCATTAGCCAGAGTTCACTGTGCCGAATATTCGCCAAAAGTGGCCCACATATGTCTTAAGATAACTGGGCCACATTTGCACCTACACGTGTGGGCCACTTTAGGTTTAGACCCAGATTACCCTTAAATGACTATGCCACATTTTTGCCCACTGTGGCCCACATTTGTCCTCCATCATTTGGGCCAAATGGATCATTTTCCACATGGGCCACATTGGGCTCACATTCAGATGTCATAAGTGTCAAATCTTTGCCTTAAATGTCCCATATATAAATTTGAATCTTTGACCCGTCTTGGCCATTGTACACATGGGCCACTTCAGGCTCACATTGATTCAGTCTGGGCCAAAGGAAGACCACCAGTGCCACATAACTGCCTAGACTGGCCCACATTCGTATGCCTATCTAGGATAGTATCATGATACTACCATAGTACCGGTAAACCGTGCAACCCTAGTACATACACATACAATATGAAATGATTAAAACAATAGTATATTAATAGCAGGTGATACAGGAGTTAAGTTATATTTCCATATTTTGGAAGTTTTCAGGTTTAAGTCAGCAATGTGTGTGTGTGTATGCTGGTATCTTGCTCAGTACTTGTCAGTTTTAGCACTGATGATGGTATTGATAATAAATGGTGGTGTTGTTTTGTGTGTCTCTTCAGTTTGACTCTGTTCGCTAAGATCTGTGAGAAGACGGTTCTGAAGCGTGTGCTGAAGGAGCTCTGGAAACTGGTGATGAACACCATGGAGAAAACCATCGTGCTGCCGCCGTTCACTGACCAGACGGTGTGTGTACAAACACACACACACACATATACACAAATACACACACAGACTCACATGCATAAAAACACATATGTGCACATAGACATGCACATACCCACATAGGTGTACACACACACACACACACACACACACACACACACACTCAAATGGCTTAACATGCACAAATACACAAAAGTTAATTGTTTGACAACACTATATATATATATATATGTGAGAGTTAAATAAGACACTTGTAATAGTTACACAAAACATGAAGAGAATGCCCAGATTGTTTTGTTTTGAAAAATGCTTTGCACTGTTATGCATTATTCAAGCACATGTAATAATAATAACGTGCACTAAATTTGGCCACTTGATGAGAATGTTTGAGTAAATATTGCATTGGGATGTTTGGCCAATGCAGTTGACCAGTATTGGTTTGAGCTGAAAGTTTTTTTTTCTGAAAGATTGGATGCGGCCACAAAATATCCTCTCAGTGGATTCCTGATTTTGTGCTGTATATTGTCGAGTGTTTACTGATTTGATCTGTGTTTGTGTTTGTGATCTGCAGGGCACACAGCTCATCTTTAATGCTGCTAAAGAGTTGGGTCAGCTCTCCAAACTGAAGGTGCATTCATCAACAAATCATTTCACCAATGCTGTCTATGCAATACATATATAAATGTTCATCCATGGATTAAAATTATTAAAAATGTGAAAAATTTTTAATCCCAAAACTAATCAAAAATTTTTTTCTTAATGTAATGTCCAGTCAGAGTTGCTTAAAACAAACTGTAAAACCCCATTGTTTTTTTGTTTTTTTTTGTCACTGTCATGTAAATCTCATGACTAAAATCCCAACGAAAACCAGGCCAATCTAAGCAACACATCTACTGTGAGAATCCACTTATTTTGCACTGCTTAGACTTAATTTTTAGGGTTATTCTGACTTTACATCTTGCAGATCAATTTTATTTTATTTTATTTTATTTTATTTTTAATTGTTTTATTTAATTCAGTTTGATTTAATTTTTTCTATTTAAATTTTGAATTTTAATTTAGTTCGATTTTCATTAATTTTTTTTTTCATTTTTGTATATTTTACATTTATTTTGTTTTTGAATTTTATGAAATTAAATTAAATTTAATTTTGTTTAAATTTACATTTAATTGAATTTTTATTTATTTATTTAAATTTAAATGTAATTTATTTTAAATTTTTAATAATTTGTTTTATTTAATAAAAATTTTTTGTATTTGCTGTAATTGTTTTAATTTCAGTTTATTTTATTTTACTTTATTTATTTATTTAAGTGTTTTTTTTTAATGCTGTAATCCAAATATAGTCTGCGGTTTTAGCTAAAATAAATAAAATGTAAAAATTAGCTAAATAATTTTGTTTTGCTAAAATATAATCAGTATACTATTTTCTCACCATGAAAATGGCCATGGAAGAATGGCAGCGTATTAAACACAAACAAACAAACATCTTGCAAATCTGGCTCATTGTTTCCCTTCAATTTAGTTTACATTTCACAATTCTGAATTTTCCTCCATGTTATTCTGTTTATATCTTTAATTTTTTGCTTTAATTATAAGTTTATATCTTACAGTTCTGACTTTTCTTGTCTGAATACCAAGATCAAACATTAATAACCTTTATTTTTTAATCTTGCTGCAAAAATAATCTTTCATTATCAATCCTCCTCACTAGATTTCTGTAAAGATGCTTTTGTGTGTTGTTGATGTCTGCAGGAGCACATGGTGCGAGAGGAGGCCAAGGCACTGAGCCCTAAACAATGTGCAGTCATTGAGCTCGCACTGGACACTATTAAGGTACAAGCACACACACGCACACTTATTCAGGATGAGATCTGTGTGTGTTCTCGGCAATATTGGTGAAAATAACTTTTACAAGTAATCTATTAAATTAATGTGTTACTTTAAGAAAGGGCTCTGCGCCGCAGTGCATGGTCTAACAGGGTTCTGCTTATTCTCTTAATGAGTTCTTATGTGTGTTTTGAGCATAACGTGCATTAAACCAATCAGAGTCTCATCGCACATTCCCTATTTACATGGTGGACTTTGTAAGTGTAAAAACTGAACACTTCACTAGCGAGAAAACAGATAAACAGAGCATCTGCAGCGCGAGGATAAAGAACGAGCCTCCTCCATTCAGCCTCTTTACTTTACTTTTACACTTTATACCTTTACTTTGGTGAAGTGAGGAACTGGTGGAAACTCTCTCCACTGAACACATCCATTAGCTCACATATTTAAATGCCCTTGTTAAGAGCAAAGATTTGTCTAAAACTATTTCTAAATTCAGTTCTGATCTCCAGCAAAGCAATAAATAAACAATAATAATGAAGTGTGGTCAGAAAACTGAGTTATATCCAAACACACGTCCTGTTCTTATGCCACAAATGGTGATGCAGACGACTCCAAAACCCCACAGCTGGACACATCTACACTTGTGTTTATTAAATCAAATATAAATATGCAGATAATAAATAATACTGCTATACTGTGCAGCTGTGAGTGAGAGTCATGATGATAATGATGGTGATGATATTGGTGTGTGTGTGTGTGTGTGTGTGTGTGTGTGACAGCAATACTTCCACGCAGGCGGTGTGGGTCTGAAAAAGACGTTTCTTGAGAAGAGTCCGGATCTTCAGTCTCTGAGATACGCTCTGTCCCTCTACACACAGGCCACAGACAAACTCATCCGCAAGTTTGTGCTGTCGCAGCACACACAAGGTACACACACAAACACACACACCTTCAGAATACACAACTCTGAGAACTATCAAACACACATTACATTCACATCATCATCATCACACACACACATGCACGCAAACATACACATACACAAGCCTCAACCACTAGTGCCTATTTCTCCCTCATTAGCATAAACAGCAGCCCTGAGTGAGAAGCAGCCGTCTGTCCATTAGCCATTAGAGTGTTTGAGCTGCTGAAGATGATGTCAGCATAGACTAAGAGGATTATAGATGTGGAGTTTTAGATGAAGAACAGCGACAGGAGCGACACAGACTGACAGAAGCATGAAGCACTAACAACACTAGTCCTGTCACTTTGCTGACACACAGGCGTCTGTAGCTCCGCCCTCTTCTGAAAAGAGCTCAATCTCATTTGAATTTAAGCGACAGTCACCAAAACACCACAATCAGGATCAAAGCCTGTAAAGGTCAGCATCCCAGAGCTAGAAAACATTATCTGTGTGATATTTTCAGCTCAAATGTCACTACACTAGGGTTGGGCATCTAAGCTATAATGCCGATCCGATACGCATCTCGATACAAAGAATACGATCCGATATATTAGCGATACATTTGTGACATATTGCGATGCAACACGATACGATTCACACCCATATCACGATACGATGCGATATTTCAGCACTAACTAATTAGATCAAGTTTATGAGATGATGTGAAAGAGGATGCTGTGCCATTGAATGAGTTTGATTATTTATTAACCAAGCAAAACCAAGACTTTTTCTACAAACTGGCTTTTCTCTCAGAGCCAGAGTGTCAGTTTACAGTAGAGGGCCATTTTAGATAATATAGCACATATTATTTAAGTATTTTCAAGATAAACAGAATGTATAAGTGCAATATATATTAAAAAAATATGTATATATTTGCACTCTTTCAACATAAATAAATTTAGCATTGCACAACAAGAATTGTGATTTAACTTTTCAACTATGAAAACAAGTTTTACAAAGATATTTTGCCACTGAATATTCAAAACTTAAGGTGGTGAACTAGCAGTGTTATGCTGCTTTGAAACATCACTGTCACTGTAAACAACAGGCTAATAAAAATATAACAAACCAGCAATCTTCTTGCTGTGAGGTGGTCAAACTACCCACTGTGCCACCGTGACACCCAATTATTTTTATCATTATTATTATTATTATTATTATTATTATTATTATTAAATAAAAATTAACAGGAGGAGGTGTTTAAAACCTTCGTTCTCCGTGACACTAGGCTGAATATCTTTGCAGATGAACAATGCAATAGCATTCGTTTTTGGCGTAGAGCGCACAACTGTTGCGCATGGAAAAAAAAACTTGCAACGCTTTTCTCACCACTTTTGGAGCTGGTAGCTACAGTTGAAGCAGAGCAGAAAGCCGGGGATGCAGAAACACTGGAAGATGCTTTCACAACAACACCATGGCGCCGCTTCAAGTGAGATATCAGATTAGTCATACTGCCCGCGTATTTTACAGATGCGCGGCACATTTTGCAAATTGCATCTGTCCTGTCATGTTGTCCATCCATAAATCCATAATGTTGCCATACTTTAGATTTAAAACTCAGTGGGGAATAAAATGTTTGTTTTGCTTCTCGCGCTTTCTGAGGGCGCTCCACTAGCTTCATCCGCACACCTGATACACTGAGTTGTAGTCCGCAAATCAGTTGCTAAGGCTTACTTTATGTAGGTCGATTAAATTATGCGCCAAAACAGGTTGACAACACTTGTTAATAAATAAAAAATACATTCTATATTAAAAATATAAGCTGTATCTCGGAAAAATCGATGCATCTCGCAAAAACCGATGCATCTCGATTTGCTTCCAAAATTTCCTTCATCCTCTGCTGCTCAACCGATGCACTCGCATCGTGAACGCGCATGACCGCGTATCGATACATATCGGTTAATCTTCCCATCCCTACACTACACACACACTTACTATGGACACTAGAGACTTATTTTACATCTTGTGAAAAGGGGCAGAATAGTGAAAATGTAGGATGTGACTTGTGAGAGAAAGTCGTGTGGTTTTCTATGCAAAGTAGAGTCCGTGGTCAACCTACCGGCTTCCATATGTCTATTTAGCAGTATATAAAACTTGAGTTTGTGACTTTTATACTTATCATAGGTGAAAATGTTACACAGCATCTTTGCAATGCTAAATCAAGCACAAATAAAGGATATTATTTTTAAAAAGATTAGATAAAGCACCAAACAAGGTCTCTGTATAGTATATATTATTATATCTGTAAAGTCCGCCTCAGAACGCCTTCCTTTTTAGACCAGAACGCCTATGGGCGCACATATGAGTGCAAATGCAATTGCTATTTAAACAGTGTAGCGCAACGCCTCAAAACGACTCTTGCGCCAAGCTGAAACTACCAAAAGACTATTGCGCCACGCCTTGCGCCACATTGCGCCGAGTGTATGATAGGGCCCTGGGTCCTCGTCTTCTTTGTTCAGGTTCTATCAACTCTTCAAGTCCTTCTCTACCTCTTCTTCTACCGCCTCTTCCTTTACCTCCTTCTCTACCTCCTTCTTCTCTTTCTCACTCTTCTTCTAGCTCCTTCCATTTTTGATGAATACAGGTAAACTCACCTGCTGCCTTTTATAGCACACCTGAGTGCTGCGTTTTCAAATAAGCACATGTGTGCTTCCACACCTTGTGGATGTGTTTATCCAGTTCGTTCATTAGCATGGTCATTGGCAATCCGGGGCTTTGTAATTACAAGGAAGTAGCCTCACAATCCTTATCTGTGTCTGAGGTGTGGAAATGTGTGTCGAGTTTTACAAATCACTGTGTGTCATGTATAAGAGCCATAAGTTCATTGTTTTATTTATGTTAAATTGATAATAATGTAAAAAGCAACTTGAAAATATTTTACTAAAAGTAATTTAATTTTTAATATAGAGTACATGCTGATGTCACTTCCGGTAAGGAAGAAGTAGTGTCATGAAGATGGAAGCAAGACAGTTTTTTGAACGTGTATTATAGTTCAGTTGTTATTAAACATGTTCGAAATGACATCACTGGACTGTCTTATGTTACCCGCGTTCAAATCCTGCTAATTCAGAGAAACAAGACAAGAAGAGACGGATCTATGGCACATACATCATGTTTTGCAAAAACAGTGAAGCAGACATTGTGTGTAATGTTGTGCAAATCTGTGGCGGTGTTTTGCTCCTTGGAGTAGAATTTTGCAAATTGTGTGGAAATTTTTATTTTAGAGTGTAAACAATCAAAAAACGGTCATATTTTTCAACAACAATTTTAAACTACACGCCATCCAATTCCCTCTCCGCTCTCCTCGACTGTTTTACTTTTTAAAAGAGGCCATACGTCACTCCAGTCAATCCCCAGTGACGTCACCGACATAAATAGGGCGGGACCTGTAATGAAGGGAAAAGTGGGAGGAGAGAGAGAGAGAGATGGGGGAACACACACACACACACACACACACACACAGAGACTTGCAAACCCAACACTGAACAAAGTGACTTTTATTGACATTTTAGTAGTTTGAAATAATGTAAGACACTTATATGTAGAGCAGGGGTGGCCTATCCTGTTCCTGGAGAGCCACCTTCCTGCAGATTTCAGTCGCAACCATAGACTGTAAAATATATGGATGTAGTGTCCGTGACGTCACCCATAGGTTTCTAAAGAGTGCAAAAGAAGCCACAAGTAGGCGTGGCCAACCGTCGCCATTTTGTTCGCGCATCATCACACCCACGGCAGGATACCAAACAAGGGCAAAGAGGCGGAGAGTGGGCGGAGCTACAGACACCTGCTGGCATTTAGCTTGGACCTGGTTCAGACACACTTTACTTTGGGAGAAATGCTTAATACTTTATCACCTGCGACTCGTTTGTATTCTGACCACTTGTGCTTGGCTGTACACTATATCAATAAAGTGTTTAGACTTTTAAAAACACTGCTGTAATACACTGAGCCACTAAACATTGTTCTTATGATGTTTTTCAACAGGAGGAAAACGCGAATTACTTACAAACACTTCAGATATAGTCTGTGTTAGTTAATGCAAGACTATTGATGAAATCCAGCATAACACTGTATGACAACACTTCAGATGACTGATCTAGAGCCTACAGCTAATCAATCTGACAGATTCTGGAGTGCATTACAGCTCTAAATATAAATATAAACCATAAATGATCCTAAATAAAACAAATACATGTATAGAGGTGGTATATAAGTATATAACTTTACTCACATGGGAAACGGAGGCCACGTGAATGGTTTGTGAGCACAATTAAGTGCACTCAGCATGCCATGCCATCTAATAATTGTAGGAAACAAGTCCAA